TTAATAACAATGGACGATCGGATCAGCAAGATTTATCAATAAGATGCATGAACATAGTGGAAGAACTAGAAGAGAAGAGGATTGGTTCTCCGAGGAGAAAGACGTGTAAGTAGCAAATTCGACCATTGGATTAACCTATAACAACGATAATGCTGATAAAAGAATCAAAGAGAGATAAAAGATAGAAATAGGTTAGAATTGGTTTAGCTTGTTTTTCAAGTTAGGATGATAAGGTATTTATCTTCATAAAGATAGATGATTTGGTCTTTATGAGTGAGCAATGGATTTGTTAAAGTTTTTGTTACGGGCTGGATCTATGTCGTTCGGCTATGTCATCTTGATCCTGATTATCCAGCCAAATGATATGCATCACCTGCCTCGAGTTCTTAACTTTCGGTATCACCTTGATATTCGCTATCAAAATCGTCACCTCAAGTAAGTCTCGGCCTTTTCATGGTAAGTACGGGAGCGAGGCATCTGTACAAATCGATATTGCTGGATTTCCTTTTTCTCTTGTTTTTTCACCACCATTGGATCAACACGTTGACCACCACAAACGTTAACCCAAGCAACTGAAGACACATATGATGCGATCTAACGATATCAGCCTGTGCAACGTATTCCTCCCACCCCGAAGTGGTGGCCACCTATGCTCTCTACCAATCCAAATGACAAAGGAAAAGAACGGTTTTCATGGGTAAACTCGAAGTTCTACAAACCCCTAATAAACAAATATCCCCAGGGTGCAGGTACCAAAGTGAGGTAGGAGGACAAAAATTGGGAAGTTGGTCACATGAACTGGACCGCAACAAATTAGGAAACAAAGTCTCTGTAAGCCTCAAACCCCTAGAAAATTTGTCATTTTATATAGAACATCAAGTTAAGTAACTGTTAAAAATGGGGTGGATCAAACAGAATTTTCAACGTAGGAATGATGAGATGAGACCATTACAATGGGGTTTTTCCAGCTTATCTTCCTGTTTTCTTGGTGAACCTGTTTTTTTTTTTTTTATACCAAAAGGAGAGCCAGTTGTCCTGTATTAAGGGCATGCTTCCCTCCATAATTGGTGACATCAAATTTTCTCCACAGTATCAAACCCCAAGGGCTGCCTACTAGCTACCAATACCTAGTCTTGGTTTTCCCTTTTGGTAGATTACCTAGCTAGGTCTTAGTTTCATGTTGAAAACAGTTTTCCTTGTATCATTTCACTCTTAAGGTGACCTATGGCCTATGGGACATGTTGCTTCTAGTTCCAATGGACACATTTGTGGCAGTAGGATTGACTCGTTGGACTTTGTTGTCGATACTTAAATAATGTTTGTCGCTCTTGATTCAACGAAAAGCTCCCGCTTCAGGGTTGTTTTTATCCCCGAATGGCCTTAACCTGGTTTAAGTCCAGCCCATACAATCCACGTTTTCTCTAGCAGTGAGAATGTCGTGCTTGGATCCATGCCATGAAGGACATCATGCCCGGACATATCTCATCAAGGCGATCTTCGCTCCGAGATGCTAAAAACTTGCAAGTTGACTAACTAGGTCGCCAACGAAAAAGCTCATGGTGTTCTCCATAGAGGCTGAATTCGCAGTGCTGTCAAAGCCGAACCGAGCCGGCCGGCCGGACCGCCAAAGCCGCACCCGGTCGTAAAACCGGCTCGGATCAGCTATTTAACCGCCACGGTTTTATACAGCGGCCGAAGCGGTTAACCGCTCGAGCCGCTCAAGCCGGTCGCGCGGTTCGGCCGTTTGGTTTACCCTAACAAAAAAAAAAATAGAAAAGGCCAATCGTGGAATCGGCTGTCAACACCTCTTGTCCCGGCATCTGCGCTTCCCGTCGCCATCGCCATCCCCATTCGCCATCGCCAGTCCTTGTTGTAGCAAGCACTCGCCACCGTCGCAAGCAGCTCCCCGCTAAGCTGCCCTGTCTCACCAGAGGCTTGGATTGAATCCGAGCCATTTCGCGGATTGGGACGAGGAAGAGCATTTACGGGTTAAGAAAGGGTGAGGAAGAATTGAATGTGGTGATGGATTTTTGAGGAATTGCATAAGGCTATAGTGGGTGAAAAATGAAAATAGGTGCGGCGGTGGGAGAGGAGGAAGGAGAGAGGGAGGGGGATGGGGAAGCGGAAGGAAGGAGAGTGATGGGTGGGGAAGCGGCGCTGTCGCTTAGGATTAGGTTAGGGTTTTTTAGTTGCGGTATATATATGTTGTGTAGAATTATTAAATGGTACCTGTAATTATCATTTTTACTCATTAAATCATTGAATTATTACTTTATGGGTGTTCTACTATGATATTATATTGTTTATAATGTACCGGTTTTCAAACGGTTTTTAAACAGTCTAATACCGGCTGGACCACTAATGACCGAGCCGTTCACGTTACCGGGTCATACTCCGGCTCGGCTTTGACAGCATTGTGAATTCGTTATCTTATACCTCGTCATGACACTCTTTCGCTAATTTGTCTGGACACGAGAAGAGGGGTTGTTAGATCGTGTTTACTATATAATCGTGTTGATTTTAGATCATAACAATTTTTTGACTTGATAAATATGTAATACGAGTCTACAATACATAGTTTATTCCATAGTATTTAAACTTTTTTCCCGGCATTACCCAATTCGATATTTGACTAATATTGTTTCTAATAGATGTTCCTTATTACCCTAAAATTAAAAAAAGGAAACTATAATGCAAATGGGTGCTTATTGAGTTGTGTTTGTCTATCTAATGTCACATTACAAAAACCACAAATTTCAATTTGTTGTCGTGAAATGAGGAAAAGAAATTAAAGTGACCTGTGGGTTATTAGTGGAGTTGTTAGTTGATTTAATTGCTGCCATGTTTTTTGAATGCTGCCATTGCCAATGTTTTATTTTGATATTCTTTTTCAGTTTTTTCCACCCAAAAAACCGGATTTCCTATGTATGTAGCTTTGTATTTGTGGCTTTTTTGGCCAATCTCTCTTTTCAGTTTTGGTAGTGGGCTGTTGCTGTGCCTACAACAGACCAGATACCAAGTTCTTGGCCACTAATTAGAATATATGTCTGGTTTGCTGTATGTCTTGTCTTTCTCATAATATGAGTGGTCCATTTTTTAGTCCAATGAGGTGAAAATCCATAGTCATCAAAAGGTGTGGTTTTTTATGGATATTTGTGAATTTTTTTTTCTTAAGTTGTTATTGAAGAGAATATACAACACAAGAGGGCTTAACTACCTAGCTAGGAAATGGGAGGTAAGTTCTTACAAATGTGGTATTTGTTTGGACTTAAAAATTCTTTGTCGAGACAAATAGGTATACTATAAAGTAACGGCGATTTATATGGTTTGGATCAAACGTTCAACATAAAAAGAGGGGACTAAACATAATGAGCCTTAGGATTGAGGGACATCCAACGTGACCCCGTTACAAACCATACTAAGGATCAAGTATCATATCTCAAACATGGCCTTGCTAACTCTTGAATTGTTGATTTGAGATGGTCTAACTCGTAAAATGAAATCATAAGATAAGATAGTCAATTGTTTCTTCTTCAGTGTGGTTGATACTATAGTTGTAGGCACCACTGTTGGATAGCACTTCACTATGCATCTTTCAGGAACTCAAAATCGAACTGAAAATATACATTACTTCTTCTTATGTTGAATTTCCAAAACACAAGATCTCTATGACTGTCAATCTGTCCACATCGCAACCCAACATTGCGAAAAATTCGCTCTGCTCGCCACTATGAGTTCCTAATTTCACATTTTTCTGCAATCAACTAGGTTAGATGGTTGGTTGATGAACAAAATAGACATTTCCATCATACGAGAAGTATGAGTCAAGAATGAAATATTAGTTGACAATGTACAAACCTCACAAGTAACGAAATTTACATATAAATATTTTTCACTAAATTTACTAAAATGAATAAGCAACATATTTCAAAACTATATTTACTTAAAAAGAAATACGTAGACATATTGGTTAAAACGTCGATTGCATAACAAATCAACAACAGAAAAAATGTCATTTAACCTTTACAATTGTTCCTTAAAATACATACAATCTCCCCTTAAGCAAAGGAGGTTCGTTCTCCATGATTCTTCAAAATCAATGTAAACACTAAGATTTGCATGGAACATATATATGTTTTTATATGATAAAATTTTGAGACAATTTGGCATTGCAAAACACCCAAAACTTTCCATGTTGTGTCAACCAACACTTTTGGGCCACCGATTCCATCCAACCACAGCTTGGAACCAAATCAAAAGAAGGCAATGCCATAAACACTTTACTCTGAATTTCCAACCCCGTGTTTTAAAAAACAGCCTCATCGACCTGTCCCAATCTCTGATTGCTCAAACATTGACAATCACCAAAGAGATGATAGCAAGTGGCCATCAAGCCATTGGTGAACCCTTAATCTCCAAAGTCCAAGTTAACCCACCAAAGGGATTTGTAAAAGATCGGTTCTTTTCGTGTAGTTCAACTAAGATACGAGAGAATCTCATAAGAAAACAATGAAAAGAGTCACTGCCCATACAAATTTAACTATAATTATGTAGATCACTATGCATAAGGGCATGCAGCTACTTCAAGAAGTCCCCCTTAGTTAACAAAAAATATGTTAGAGAGCTCTTAAGCCAAGGAGATTGAGCAAAACTATGAGTTAAAAATACCAAAACTAGTACAAATTTTTTGAAGGAGGTGGTGGCAAATTGGCATACAATGGGAGACACAGAAACAGCTCCCACGTTGCCCCTCATATCTATATTTTTTGCTTTAATTTCCTCTTTATTAAAATGGTCCATATGCATATGTATATCTCTCTTCTTTGGTGGGTTGGGTTCAAAATCAAACATATATAACAACACTAGCAAGAGAAGAGATAGAGATAGTTAGATAGAGAGAGAGAGAGAGAGAGAGAGAGAGAGAGAGAGAGAGCCATTGCCCTATATTGAAAGGGGAGGAAATAAAATTGGGTTCTTTGTACTTTCCAAGGAATAAATATATCCCATTTCCCTCTTGTGAACCTCCATAAATACTCTTTATCCTCCATGCCCTACACTCTCCTCTCCTCTCTGTCTTTGTTACTACACCAAACACCCTCTTCCCTTTGGTATAGTTTGACAACCATCATCATCTCTCAAAGGAGAGAAAGCTAGCTAGCCAATTTCGAGAAGAAGAAGCTTTCTTTGGATCATCATCATCATCATCAATCATGGTTTGTTCTCTTGTCTACTCTTTTCCTCTCTACCTCTATATAAACCACAATTCTAGGTGGGTTTGCTGAATTGAGGTTGAATTTTGCTCACAGGGAATTCACCAGAAGCCTGCATGGTTGGAAGCAATGTACAACGAGAAGTTCTTCGCTCCCTGCCCGTACCACGAATCCGCCAAGAAGAACGAGAAGAACGTCTGTTGCCTCGACTGTTGCACCAGCATCTGTCCTCACTGTGTTCCGGTTCATCGCTCCCACAGATTGCTCCAAATTCGCCGGTATGTTTACCATGAGGTCGTGAGACTCGAAGACCTCGAAAGACTCATGGACTGCTCCGGTGTTCAGGTTTGATTTCCCGTCTGATCAAACTTGTGCAATTCCAAAACCCAATTTTGATTGATTCTCTATCATCCATTCATCTATCTTCTTTCATGGATGGCATATCCTAAACTTTGCTTTGATGTTGATCATGATCAATTGCTATAGGCCTACACCATCAATAGTGCCAAAGTGGTGTTCATCAAGAAAAGGCCCCAAAACAGGCAATTCAAAGGGTCCGGGAATTATTGCACTTCATGTGATAGAAGCCTTCAAGAACCTTTCATTCACTGCTCCCTTAGCTGCAAGGTAACTTTCCTTAGCTAGTTTCTACTTTCTCCTATTTCTAGTCAAAATTCTATCGATATTTCGGCTCCCAATCAATCTAAATTGCTAAAAAGTATATAGCTCATCAAGAATTGCGGCAACAAGATGGACCATCAAGAAAGTATGGTCGCCAATTTTCTCTAATAAATAAATTAAACAAATCAATGAACCCTTTTCGCTGTTCCAATCAACAAATTTCAATTTCTGATGATACAACGATAAGGTTATCCACCAACACGACGACCATCAATCCAGACAGTACAACTTTTTAGTAATTTGAATACTCGTATATGCACAACGAATTGAGTTCATACGAAAAATTTACAGGTTCGTTCGATGGTACAATCGATTCGGATCGTAGTAGTTGTAACAATTTTGTGTATGCATGTTTTTTTACCAGGTGGATTTCGTGCTGAAGCATTACAGGGACTTGAGTCCATTCCTGAAGAAATGCAAGACGTTGGTCCTAGGACCGGACTTCTTGATTCCACAAGACGCCGACGACATGATGACCAACTCCGACGAACCGATGAGCTGGTCGTCGGGGTCCGGCGGCGGCGGCTCCGGCTCCTCGTCGTCCTCCTCGGGGTCGGAGAACATGAGCAGCATGATGATGGTCGCCCCGCCGGCGTGTCCTCAAAAAATCGTACGCAAGAAACGGAGTGGTTTGATCTACGTTTGGTCGAGATCCACGTCGACGACAACAAACTACGACGACGGTCATAATTACGGCCACAATAAAGTCTCCGACGAGGACATGGCGACCAGCATGAGCCGGCGGAAAGGCGTCCCCCAAAGATCTCCTTTGTGTTAACTTATCGAACTAGGGAAAGAGGGAATAACAAACCAAGAAAAAAAGGAAATTATGAGGATTTTTTTTTACATTTTTAGTTAATTTTTTTCTGAGTTTTGACTGAATTAGTCCTTAATGAAATGTTTCTCTCTCTAGCTCTACTCTCTTTCTAGTTGAAATTTTGGGGGGATTAATATTAATTAATCACTTGGTCGGGGGGTTTTGTCTTAATGGCATCACGTGGTTCCCAATTCCAAGTTATGGTTTTGTACATTTTTTTCTCCCAGAGTTATTCGCCTCTTTCTACATATAACAAATTCACCAGTTAATCGAATGAGCTTATCGAGGACTATTAAATTTGTACTATTTCGATTTTCGCCATATTTTCTCGTGCATTACATATTATCTTAGGTAATGGTTGTACTTGTCGACCATGGACGGTCTTATAGTATAATCTCGTAGAAAAGGTTTATATATAGAGTTTGAAGGTGGAGAGAGACCGGAAAATGTAGATGAAGAATCCAAGATATTCCTGCTTTTTTTTTTTTAATTGAAGACATTTGGGTTTTGTAATTGTAGATGGGAGTTGAAATCCGAGTTTTTTCCAGAAATAGCACCTTTAAAAAAAAATTTACAAAACTAGCACCCTCTCAAAAATATTTACAAAACTAGCACCCTTTTTTATTGACCGCACCCTCGTGATGCGATTTACATATAAACCGCATCCCCCAGGTGCATTTTATATGTAAACCGCACCTGGAGGGTGCGTTCTAATCTGGTGGGCCTAAATCGCACCTTGGCAATGCGTTTTCATGTCTGGCCTACATGAAACGCATGGCCGAGGTGCGGTTTAGGCCTGACCTACCTAAACCGCACCATAGAGATGCGATTTATTCCTCCAAAAACGAACCGCATCTGTAAGGTGCGGTTTAGCTATGTAGATCGCACCCCCCAAGTGCGGTTTAGCCATGTAGATCGCACCCCCCAAGTGCGGTTTAGCCATGTAGATCGCACCCCCCAAGTGCGGTTTACGTGCCAATTATTTTCCGACACCCGACAGCCATGCAGAGAATTATGCACGTAGGGCTGCATGGCTGACTAAAACCGCACCCTAGAGGTGCGGTTTTCACAATTTTTTCCCCTATATAATAAGACTTGCCGGAAAACCTCTACTCTTCACACCTCTCATTCTCTCTTTCATTTTTCTGTTGTATATCTATATTTATTTAGTGTGTTTGCCATTAAGATTAACTCGTAAGTTTTTTTATGTTACTTTTTATGCCATTAACATTAACTCGTAACTTTATTTTGTGTTACTTTTTATGCCATTAACATTAACTCGTAAGTTGATTTTGTGTTACTTTTTATTGTGATTTGTGATTTTTATGATAGGGTTAATAGCATTTCGTACCCCTCTACTATTGCGATTTAACAAACGTACCCCTCTACTAATTTTTTGCACAAACGTACCCCTCTATTATTAAAACGTAACGAACATACCCTTCCGTCTAATTTTCTGTTAAATGACCGTTTAATGGACTATAAAAAGACTCATTTACCCCTATTAACTCTTAAAAGCTCCTAATTTCCATTTTAAATATTTTATGTCTTATGTGCCAAAAAATTAAAAAGCACTCGGCACTGCCAAAGCTTCTATCCCGACAACGCCTTCCTTCTTCCCCTCTACTACCCTATACGAAGAAAGCAGGCCATCAACGTCGCTTGTCAAATCCGGCCATCGATCCCGTCCGCCAACTCCGGCCATCGTTGTCGTCCGCCAACCCCAGCTTCGGCGGGGCGAATTAGCATCTTCCAACGTAACACAAAATCAATTGAGTTTGGTTTAAGGGGGCAGTAGCTTACGTAATTGAATGCAAAGTAGAGTGAATGGGTAAGTAACTAGGAGCCGAGTACAGGGTGGCAGAGTCTCTGATGCCGGAGGGACAGAGGGAGGAATAAGAGGATCGCATCACAATTGCTGTTCGCGGGAGAAGAAAATCGCGTCAACAATTGCTAGGAGAAGAGGGTCGCCTTACCAATTGTTGTTCGTCAGAGATCGAGCACCACCATTGTGTGTTTGTGTGGAGAAGAGCCATGTAGAAACCGCCGCACCTGCTCCCGCCGCCGTCGTTTACCAAGTGCAGGATTTGATGGGAGTTGAGGAAGACGGAACGTCGGCCTCTCGTAGAGAAATATGAGTCTGTACGTTCTACTTTTTTTAATTAATTTGGTTAGGGATAAAAAAAATAATCAAATCAAAATTAGATGTTAATGAGGGATAATTGGGTCTTTATACAACCCATTAAACGGTCATTTAACAGAAAATTAGACGCAAGGGTATGTTTGTTACGTTTTAATACTAAAGGGGTACATTTGTGCAAAAAGTTAGTAAAGGGGTACGTTTGTTGATTCGCAATAGTAGAGGGGTACAAAATGCTATTAACCCTTTATGATATTAACTAAACTACGGTTTGTTTGTGTGCAGATGGCATTCCGTCAGTTAACGCTTGGCTTACGGTGGAATGGTTACACGGAAGAGACCGGAAAGGGGGCCACCTACGTCGGTGGCAATTTTCAGAAAATAACGGTCGGTACCAGACCGAAGCTTGAAGACCTCCATCAAATATGCACTGACGCAACTTGCATGGATGGCACGAGGAGGGTAGATCGTATGGTGTACCGATACCCAAACAGAGCAACTGGGTCATTGTGGCATGAGGAATATACCATAACCACTCAAGATGACCTAGATTCCATGCTCGAATTCTTGAGGTCCAACAAATTGGCCAAAGCCGAGATGTTCGTTTACACCGAGCCAGTCGTTGGTGTTGGACGTCATTCTGGACATGGTCAAACATCTGGTATCCATGGTGGAGGTGAATTATATGACGATCATCCCTACCAAAGTTACCATGATCCTCAATCCTATTTTCAGTACCAAGATGGAGGGCAAGGTGCTGGCCATCATCAATCTTTCTCGTCATATGAAGAAGAAGTTCAACCGGACATCCCCAACCAAGCCCAGTACAACTTCCTGACAGGCAGCGGTAGTTTTCACAACTACCATTATGGAGCTGATGAAGGTGCCTTTCATGAGCAGGATCAGATGGATTCTGCCACACCAGCACCAGTCAGCGACCCCTCTGATGAAGAAGGAGAGAACAACGTCAGTGCAGACAGCTCAGACCCTCTTGAAGGTGCTGATGATTCAGCACCAGATTCAGATTCAGATAATGATCATGATGTGTCTCCTGACCGTGTACCAGTCCCCTACTACAATCACATTCCAGACGACAATTGGATGGTCGACAGCGACATGGAGCCGCCAGAGGTCCCAATATGGGGCCCACTCACTGGGTTTACGAAGGGCCAACAATTTGGCTCGAAGAAGGATGTGCGGCACGCCCTTGAGACTGAAGCAATGACTCGGCATTTTGAATGGCACACAACTAAGGAGATTGCTTGCTTTCTTGGAGAAGAACACTCCTCCGATCATGCCTATGAGATAGACACGAGCATATCTCTCCTTCTCATCCTCCGGACTTTCCTCCGTAAGCGGATGACTCTCGTAATGATCTCTAAAATACTTCGTCAACCATGTAATTGAGACTTGGTGTTTCCTCAATGGTGGCATGCGATCGGTCGCATCAACGCAACCCTTAACCGGTACTTTCACTCCCAAATGACTGTGGATGAAATGCTGCCAACCGGGCATACCGTCACAATCCTCGGGGGGATGATCACTCACGCACACCGGTTTGCCGTCGATGGGCAGATGGGTTAGGATGGCAACATCCTTTAGCGTGATGGTGGCCTCTCCTTCTCTAAAGTTGAAACAATGGGTCTCCTTTCTCCATCTCTCGGCTAATGCGGTGATGAGTTGACGATCGATTTGGATGCCGTTAAAATGCCTAATCGAGTCTAACCGTGCCCTTTTGAGAAATGGCAAGATAGCGGGGTGGAATGGGAGCACATTTGTGGTACCCCTGTAGCGGATTATTGTTTGTGCCTCCTAGGAAAAATGTACACGTTAATTATTATTAGTAAGGGTTTTTTTCGTATAACTAAATTAATTTAATTAAATTATGCGACATAAAACATAATTTTATTATCATAAAAAGACATTTCATATTACCTCCCTCCCATTGTCAATGAATAATAATTTAAAGAGGTACATACATATTATCGTAAAACAAACATACTGAATTAATTAACATAAATAACATTGTTAATGAATAATAATTTAAGTAGAAACATACATATTCAAATGTTTGTGTAAATAATTTAATCGTATTAGTTGTTTTAAAGAGGTACATACATATTATCGTAAAACAAACATACTAAATTAATTAACATAAATAACATTATTAATGAATAATAATTTAAGTAGAAACATACATCTTCAAATGTTTGGTAAATAATTTAATCGTATTAGTTGTTTTAAATAATTTAATCGAATACAAAGCAACACTCGTTAGACTCTTAGAAGAGGTATACATCTTCTTAGAAACGCAGTCTTTTTGACAGAAAAAGGGGGGATCCGAGGATCTCTTAATACCCGATTTTCCCAGGTAATGGGAGGATATGATAATCGCTTAAAACCCCATTTCCTTAGACGTGCATCTCTTTATAAAGAGTCGAAGTAAGTGGCGCTATGTATTCGATTAAATTATTGAAAACCACCAACACGATTAAAAAATAAACATAAATTTATTTTATATTACACTAGGCACATTAACAAAATAAAAGAAGGACAAATGGTGAAGAATTGTATGTACCGGGTGATCGTTCCAAACATCCCTTGACCGATGGTTGGGTTGGTCGTACAAGTCGGTTGGATCCACCGGTCCTTGCTCGAGATAATACCGTTGGTTGTATATATCGACGTCCTCCCCAACCTACGAGAAAATAACAACGAGGTTAGTACATAGATTAATTAAAAAACTTATAACAACAATAAAAATTAAACCAGAATAATGAGTACATACCGCTTGAAATTCATCGACATAAACTCCTTCTCCTTGCCACCAATCGGCCATTTTTTCGGCGTAATTCGGACAGAGCTTCGGCTCGGCTCGGCGGGTTTTTGAGGAAAAAACCTAAGAAATATTTTCTGATGGCAGATCGGACTTAGCCGCAACCAACAGACTTTTATTTCCTAGGCTTTTGGGAGGGGAGGGTTTAGAGAGATTATATCTAGAGAGAGAAGGAGAATGGGTTGTGTGGAGTGAAGAAATGAGAGGGGGAGGGGGGGTATTTATACCCAA